ACTGTTCTCAGTGGTAGCAGATGACAGAACAAGGAGTAATGGTCTCAAGTTGCAGTGGGGGGAGTTTAGGTTGGATATTAGGAAAAACTTTTTCACTAGGAGGGTGGTGAAGCATTGGAATGGGTTACCTAGGGAGGTGGTGGAATCTCCTTTCTTAGGGCTGGTCTACACCCAGCCGCTAGTTCGGCGGCTGGGGATCGAAGTTCTGGGTTCGACTTATCGCGTCTGGTCTGGACGCGATAAGTCGAACCAGGAAGTGCTCGCCGTCGACTGCAGTACTCCAGCTCGGCGAGAGGAGTACCGCGGAGTCGACGGGGAGCCCGCCTGCCGCGTGTGGACCGCGTCTGAACCGCGGTAAGTTCGAACTAAGGTATGTCGACTTCAGCTACGTTATTCACGTAGCTGAAGTTGCGTACCTTAGTTCGACTTGGGGGGTTAGTGTAGACCAGGCCTTAGAGGTTTTTAAGGTCAGGCTTGACAAAGCCCTGGCTGGAATGATTTAGTTGGGGATTGGTCCTGCTTTGAGCAGGGGGTTTGACTAGATGACCCTGATATTCTATGATTCTATGACAATGCATATTGTGACAGCTACAATGTCAGATGAGGCTAGAGAGAGCTGGGTAAAACAGAGGTGTTTTACAGAAGTGTGCATTTTAAAAATTACGTTCGATCTGAATCCAGTCCGATTTTTAAATGTGCTGTAAATCTTACATGTATGCTTGGCAAACCTAAGCTTATTCACAGATCCAGCATGTGCTATTAGGGAAACTTTCATGCTGGGGGAACTTGGAAAAAAGCAACATTTATACATGATGCAACTTATTTTGCCATTAACTTCCTTTACCTTCTGCTTCAGTTGCAAATGTGCATTTGAAGAGATTTCCATCCTCACCATCCTTTCTGCCTGCAATCAAGATTGCGGCTTTAGATCAGTCTACTCCACGACAGTGTCTCTAGGCCATATCACTCATTCAGCAGTCTAATTACGAGATCAAATAAAAAGAACTGATGGTTAAGATTGGGCACTGGCTATGTGCCTAATTTGTAATGAAAGAGGTGCCAGGGCTCAAGTAATATTTTTTACTTTCATAACTGACACAGCCAGAGGTGCCGGGGCTATGAACTGCCAAGCCTAGAGGTGCTGAGATTCAGCCCTGGCACAAATTAAGCACTGTACATAGCTGTTTAAACAAAATGCGTTGAGTGTTCAGCAAAATGGGCAAGGGATTTATTAAAAGAACATGAAACATAAAAGGCTAAGTCAGTAGTAAGACTAGTTGAAAGCTTAACCTGGAGTGAAAAACAACTTTCTAAAAACCACATTACCTTAAAAGCAGCATAAGAGGCTGATTTTTCTTAAAGAGCGTGATCCAACTGCCTCGCAATTTTTATTTATACAAAGAAATCACACTTCTGATCAAATGCAAGCTCTGGAAAGGTTGCAAATCCTGGTTTTGTGTGAAGCTGCCCTACACAGAGAAAGAGCAAGTCTGTTATAGAAACTCAAAATCCTTCTTCCATATTCCCCATAACTTTCAAACACACTAGTGCTGAGTCAACTGGTAGGTGGAAAGATTAGAACTACTGAGTTCATGAGAGGTTCCACGATGTTGTGGTCTCTCTTCTCTGTATAATAAACTGGCTTTTCCCCTTCCCACACTGCCAGGCTACAAATGGGAGACTCTCAGTATGTAGCCTGGAAGAACTTTCCAGAATAGCCATGATGGGGTAAGAAAGATGGCCTGTGGTTAGGGCACTAGCCTAGGACTTGAGAGCTCAGGGACCAAGTCCTTGCTCCAACAGACTTCCTGTGTGACCTTGGGCAAGTCACGTAGCCTCTCTGGGCCTCAGTTCTCTCTCTGTACAAACGGGGATAATAGCACTGCCTCATTTCACACAGGTGCTGTCAGAAGTACATCAAAGATTATCAGGTGCTCAACTACTACAGTAAAGGGCGCATTTAAGTACCGTAGCTAAAGGAGCACAGGCAGATTCAGTAGCAGATTTAGGGGGTGGGAGTGTAGGAAAGAAAAGCATGCATCTGATGAAGTGGGTTTTAGCCCACAAAAGCTTATGCCCAAATACATTTGTTTGTCTCTAAAGTGCCACAAGGACTCCCCGTTGTTTTTGCTGATACAGACTAACACGGCTACCACTCTGAAACTAGGAAAGAACTGTTTTTAAAACTAAACTTGTAGCATGGCTGGAATTAGTAGAGATCCTTAATGGACTTTTTGAGGGTGATAAAATATTTGGATCATCCATGGGCTCTATCACTATTTCCTGGAAGACAGATACAATATATATTCCTGAGGTCAGTTCTAGAGAAGCATCTTATAACAACAGTGTTTATGTGAAATCCTGGCCTCATTAAAAAGCAAAAGAGGGTCCTGTGGCACCTTTAAGACTAACAGAAGTATTGGGAACATAAGCTTTCGTGGGTAAGAACCTCACTTCTTCAGATGCAAGACATCTGAAGAAGTGAGGTTCTTACCCACGAAAGCTTATGCTCCCAATACTTCTGTTAGTCTTAAAGGTGCCACAGGACCCTCTGTTGCTTTTTACAGATTCAGACTAACACGGCTACCCCTCTGATACCTGGCCTCATTGACACCTATGGTAAAACTCGCATCGACTCTTCAATGGGGTCAGGATTTTAGCCTTTATGCCCATTAGAGGAAAGGTTTTTCCTCAGTGTGATCATGCCAGCAGACCCTCCCTTCCTTCATGTGGGGCTCTCACCTACTACCGAACCATTGGCTGCATATTTCCCCCCCATCCTTCCTGTGATGGGAGTCACTCCTCCCTGGGACACCGCCTTCTAACTGCCTCTGGGAACTAGCTCCTTCCAGGTCTAATCCCTTCTTCTGTCACTCATTCATGTGAACCACAGCCTCTTTCTCTCTCTGCATGAGTCAGGGTGCTCTTTGTGGCTTAGCCCTCCAGCCAGGTCACTACAGTCCTCTGCTTCTGGGGTATCGAAGTCCCACTAGGCCATCTGTCTCAGCCAATCTTCTGTTCCACTACCCAGCCTGTGCCATTTCCCCACTGGCGGGTAGGGGAACCCATGTTCCAGCCCAGGGATCATACAGGAAGCAGCAAAGATCTGCACTTTCTCAAACCTTGCTGCAGTTTCTCTGGGCTACTTCCTACTTTGTCTTGATTGGAATCCTTCTCCATCCTCCTCGAGATGTATGCCCTTACCTCAGAGCCAGGATCACAGACGCTGACTTTTGTCATTTCCTGGGGGGTGCTCAACCCCCACCCCCACTCCATCCCTTCCCCAAAGCCCCACCCCACCTCGTTCTACGCTGCTCTCACTTTGCACCCTCCCCACAGCATCTCCTGCATGCCCCTGAACAGCTGAGTGTGGTGGGCAGGAGGCACTGGGAGGGAGGGGAAGGAGCTAATCGGCTGAGCCCTGGAGCACCCATGGAGTCAGCACCTATGGCCAGGATCCCAGAGCCTCTATGCTCCCCCTGGTTTCTTCTTTTTCTTCTCTAAACTCAGAGTGACTGCAAGCCTTCCCCTCATCCAGCTGTGCTTCATCATCAATTAAAAGCACATTAGCCTTGACTCTCTCCCACATGGAGCCTATCACAGGGTTAATTGGCTCTTTCCCTCTACTCAGGCTGCCTGGGGTAAGGACCTCATCATAATCCCAACTCCACCAGGAATCTCTGTAAGCCTCCAAAGTATGGGTGGTGGTACATGCATTCTCCCCAACTAGTCCCACAAAGTTCCCCATACAAATGTAATACAGCCGCAGAGCTCCTGTTCCCAGTTTGTTCTGCAGGAGATGATCAGACTCTCCATTTTACTCAGTCCTCGCGGGGCAACTCTGTTGAATCTCAAAGTTTGCACAAAAGGAAAAACATGGGTTTAAAAGAAAATCCTCAGAATTCAGTCCATCATCAGTGTTAAGGGAGCCAAAAGCAAAAGACCAGCCTCAATGGCTCCTCAGGCTAATTTTCAGAAACAGTCCAATAGGGAAGAGAATAGCCCAATCTCATTCTTTAACTGTAGTCCTTTTGAAGATTTTCCCTCAGTCAGCTCAGGGAAGAATGCCTCTCCATAATGGGCCCTGAATAGGCTCATGGAGTCCTTTATCCAACTGGGAGTTGGGTAGGGCCTAATTGAAGTCCAGCAATTGGTCTAGGCAAAAGGGTTTGATTCTACGCAGTAGTAATTAGAACTAGTTTAAGCCACCAACACCCACCCACAAAAAAACCCCAGAAAGTTATTTTGGTTCTGTAGGTTTTGAAGAGGAACCATTTGTTTATCCAAAATTATCAAGTTTCATTTGCAAAATTTTGGTTTCTGTGCTTTCTCCCTGCCACAATTCTCTCTCTCTCTCTCTCTCTCTCACACACACACTCTTACAGCAACCAGAATCCGTGCAGCACCATACACTTCAACCCCACCTGACATACCCTTCCTCCCCCAAACTCAAACCCCTACAGGGGGGCTGGAGCTTGCAATGAAGTCCTCAAAAGGAAACTTTATGGCTGTGTCTGTACTGGAGGAATTCTCCCCATCTGAATATGGGTGTTTAAGGCGCCTTTATACTTCTCTGGCCCTTTTATCCAGCACAAAGGGAGCTGGGTGGAGGATAGAACCTCACCCCTCAGCTGCAATTAAAAACTCTTTTCATCTGCATTAGTTTTCTTTTAATTAGCTTAGAAAGACTTGACCTTTTAGTAAAACTTCTATCTACTTTTAACTTTGGAGAGACTAACGTTTAATTAAGATAATGGGGCTGACTCTGTCTCCTGCATGACTCATTTTCCACTAATGTTGCTCCATGAAGTGGACAATCAGCCCTCAGGTTGCCAATCCTCCAGGATTGTCCTGGAGTCTCCAGGAATTAAAGATTAATCTTTAATTAGAGACGTCATGTGATGAAATCTCCAGGAATACACCCATCCAAAACTGACAAGCCTAAATCAGACCCAATATTTCATGTGAGAGCTATGTATTTAATCACAGAGACAGGGGAATTCAAACATTTATTCTTTATTGTATTGCTCAGAGTATCTATGCAATTTATGTATGTAGTGTAGTTAAGGATCCACATTTCCCAAAACATCACATTGCAGCACAGTCTCTTTACACACGGTGAGTAATCAGTGCCTTCTTTAAAAGGTGACAATCAGCTGCAAGTTTAAGCATTTCTGGTAGTAAATGAAGGAAAAAGCTAAGTTATCAATACATATTTTTTCAAACACTCAAAAATGCAGTTTACAGAGGACCGCCAATGAAGTCAAGCAACTACTTTGATGATACTCTATCTGTAAATGTAGACTCTGCAGTAAAAAAAAAAAAAAAAAAAAAAAGCTAAATAAGCACAAAAATATATATTTTAACTTTTAAAATAATTTAAATACAGTAATATTTTGCTTATGTTACCTGTGTTTACAACGTATGGTCTATGATCTGATCTATAGATATAGGGCCAGATCCTTAGCACCTGAGGCTCTGACCCATATTTAAATTGAATAACCCCAAGTTGTTCATATTTGAACACAGAACAATTGTTCAACACTGAAAAACTAGCTACAGTGCAGCTAAAAGAAATAGTACTAATTTAAACAATTTAAGATTCTAGAAAGAATCTTAGATGTAAAGCAATGTTGAAATAATTAATATTTATTCTTCACCTCATAAGTCTCTAGTCTGATGCTTACAGATTGATTACTCAAAAGCCACTGAAGGTCAGTTAAGCTAATGGTCACAAGTAGTATTATTATCCCCAAACAACATTTCTTAATTTTTTGATAACTAATACTGGTATTTGAAAGACATTTGTATGGTTGCTGAAAACTTTTATTAAAATGTATCCTCTTGCTACGAGATGTTTACCATACTAAAAAAAAAAAACCCCATGAAAAACATAAAAAAATATTTTTAAAGATTTTTAGAAAACCCAAACAACTGCAAATACAGCTGCTCTTTTAATATATATATTCTTCAGGTTTTTTTTTAATGTATCATTTACAAAGAGGCAAAAAAGTACAACAGTCCTAGGATTTATTTTTGTCCATTACATTGAGGACCTCATCCAGAAGTGAGGGTCCCAGGTCAAGCTGCAATGAAAGAAGCGAGCCTGCAAGATCTGAAAGGGATTCTTCTGACTTAGTCTCTGCCTTGGTTAGTTCACATGAGAGATGACTGTCATCAAGTAAGTCAACTGTTTGCCAATCAGTGCATTGTTCAGAAAGGCTGGATGAATGACTCTCTCTGCCATTAATATAATGCGACCCAGAACCATTCGGCTCCCATAGGATGTCATCTTTGTACATTTCCCCATTCTCCAACTGTTTGCTTTTCTCCTGCAATTTTTCTTCCATTACGGGCTCACAACTAAGCCTTGCATTCTTTGATGGCCCAAAGGAGTCCCGCTTTGAATTAAATGTCACTGGTGACAATAAGGGCAACACAAGGGCTTGAGAACCACCAATGGCAGGAAGCGAGATGGCATTTTTGAGCACGGGTGAAGGAGTTTCTGTAAACATGGAGTCACAGGTGCTGTTTGCCCTTAAGAACTCATTATGTCCACCAAACTGACCAACTCTTGGTGTTCCCTCATTCCCAGGCAACAGCTCATAATTTCCTTGCAGAAATGAGATGTCCCCAAAAACATCATGTTGTCCCTCTTTCCCAATGTGTATGGTGTGGCGAAAGTCACCAAGTGGTGGACTGATCATATCAGGAGACAAAATATCCCTTAATTTGAATTTCTTCCCTTTCTTATTATTGGCAGCTTTCAGGTAGATGGGTGTCTTAGCTGGCATTTTGTTTGCAGATTTTGAGGTGGTCTGGTCTGTTTTATAAGGGATGAAAAAAAAAAAAACCAAAACACTTCTTATAAGAATTAGCGATTCTTCTCCAGCAGACTTTCAATGTTATCGTTGTCACATTATTGACTTGGATGCCTCTCACAATCAGGGTCCATTTCTTCTGGGAAAGAGAATCTGGGAATTAAGAGAGCTGAAGAACCTCAATGTAGAGCTTTCCAAGTTTAAGCATACGACCGTCCTTCAGGTGAGGAGTTAGTGACCAAGTACTCTATTACTTCCAAAACCTGAGAAAACCTGTATGGGAAACAAAGCAGGTTATTAGCTTACTCTTCATGGTTCACTCAGCCTTGCTTTTACAAAAAAAATTAGTAATGGTACTGACAGTTCCAGCCTACAGATTAGCTTTATGATGTTGCTTCCCTTCATTAAGCAGGATAAAAGGCTTTAGTCTAACAAGGCTAGCTAACCTCTTCCTGACTTCATAGTTTTTTGAAGTCAGAGTTCCTTAGACACGGTTGCTGAGCACAGTTCACTTGGTAAACTCACTATCTCAGTTTCTCTCTCACTCTGTCAGTCATCTTCAATCTGGAGAGGCAGCAATGATATTCAAAGGTTTCTACATTGACATTTAAAAGAAAAAACCCCTCAAACTTTTTAAACAAAAACCCACACACTTTAACACAGAGGCCTATACACATTACGATTTAGATAGGTCTGAGAAAGTTTAAAGTTAGACTTGTATAGCCAAGATTTTCAAAAAATGGTGTAAAAGGCTATGGCTTACAGCGAGCGGCACAGCTGCACCACTGTAAGCTCTCTAGTGTAGCCGCGCTAAGTCGACGGGAGAGAGGTCTCCTGTCGGCTTAACTACTCCAGCCCGAGCAAGCGGCAGTAGCTATGTCGGCGTGAGAAGCTCTCCCACCGACATAGCGTTGACCATACCAACACTTAAGTTGGCATAAGTTACGTTGCTCAGGAGGGTGGCTAATTCACACCCATGAGTGACATAACTATGACAGCTTAAGATGTAGTGTAGCCATGGAGCCTAGATTTAGGTTCCTACCCCCATACTGAAGCATCTAAATAAGATACCTGATTTTCAAGAGCATTAAGCACCCACCACCTCTCATTGCCTCCCCCCAAGAAAATGAAAGCATCAGATCATTTATTTAGAAGCCTAACTGTAGGCCCTCTTTTGCTTCCCCAAAAGGTCAAAATTTTAGAAAGTTATCATAGAATATCAGGGTTGGAAGGGACCTCAGGAGGTCATCTAGTCCAACCCCCTGCTCAAAGCAGGTCCAATCCCCAAACAGATTTTGCCCCAGATCCCTAAATGGCCCCCTCAAGGGTTGAACTCACAACCCTGGGTTTAGCAGGCCAATGCTCAAACCACTGAGCTATCCCTCCCCCCTGAAAAGATATTAGAATGGAAACTCCCACTTCAGCCTTAACTACAGTTGTCATTAGCACTTCAATTATAATTAAGTTCAAAAAATTGCCCATTTGAAACAAATCACAGGACATAAGGAAGTGCAGAAAGTGTTAAAAACCATATCCCAGGTTAAAGTCTACTGAAGTCAATGGAATTAGGCTACAGGTTCTAACAGCAACATTAATTCAGGCAGGCTGCATGCTATCTGTGGTCAATTAGATTTATTTACTAAAATGAGAAATAAAGCTATATGGTTAAGAACAGAAAACATCATTTATGTGCAAGGTGGTCAAGTTCACTTTAATTTTTTTTATTTCTTGGTTTTCTGGGTGTGATTTTCAAGCCAGTCCTCCAGTTTTTACAGGCAAAATTTTACATCCACAATTAACTGTGCCTAGTATTCATTCAGGAAGGAGCAAAATTGTGGGAGTAATTCACTGTTGGTGCCAAACAACACAAGCAAGACTGGCCCAGCTTGAAAGTCAGCCCTCTGCAAGATTTACCCTTTTGACTTCTTGCTATTCAGTTTCCTAGTGTGCACTTTTAGGAACTAAGTGCCTAGTTAAAAACTCTTATAGCCAGTGACTTCTACATGCACTGGAAAGTGACCTTCATATCCCTCCCTTGGCTTCCCTTTCTCCATCATATAAACCGTCAGCTATGTGTCCTCACTTCCAAGGAACTTTAAGACCCTTCCTCATCTCTCATTCAGGATGATTGGCCCATGATGCCAGCCTCTGCAGCCCTGCTGTAACAAGAGTAAGGGAGTGGATCTGTGATAGTAGAGCTGCAGAGAACTCCTGGAACTGCGGCAGGGCCCGGGACAATGGATCCCTGCAGGCAGAGGTGAAGTAGGGGTTTGTGGGTCCCTGGGCCAGAGCAAGTGGGGCCCCTTCCCTACCCCTTCCCCCTGCATTCCCCCCGGCGCTCCTGCAGGGGAGGAGTGGGGTTGGGCAATGGGGGCTTCCCCCACTCCCCGGCAGGAGCGCCGGGTGGACAGAGGAGGGCAAGCCAACGCGGGGGCACCCATTTTGCTGGTGCTCTTGGGCATGGGCCCCATTGGCCCATGGCTAATCCGCCACTGCCTGCAGACACAAGGTAGGGGTGAGGGAAAGGAAGATTCCAGTCCTAGCGAAGCAGACCAGAGACCCATGGCCAGGGCTGTGAGGAAGAGGAGGACAACAGTAATGAACCTCCCTCCGGCCATGGTGGAGACCACCCAGTGCAGTGGCTGAATGGCTCAGTCCACAGGCAGGAACTGTTCAGGAACACCCCATGGCCACGCGCTCATCCTCCCTTCTGGCAGTCCTGACTGGGGGGGGGGGGGGGGTGTCTCTGCTCTGCCAGGCCATGACCACATACTGCCCTGCATCTTATGCCTCAGTGTCTTGGGCCCCTGCTGTTGGCACTGGTAGCCCCCTGCAGCCCTGCTGTTGGTGTTGCCCTATCCATACCGTGCCCCCCCCCCCAAAAAAAATTTTTACAGCAACTGTAAAACTAAAAATAGTTAAAAAAATTCTTAAAAGTGAAAAATACAATATTAATAGTTGAGATACAAGTCCCAGATTCTGCCAAGGCTATACATAGCACAATATGGTCCTGCTCCATCACTAAGGCTCCTAGGCACGATGGTAAAATAAACAGATAAAAAGGGCACAAATAAACTTAATAAAAAAAAGGTGAAAAGGATCACCTTCAAATTAAAAATAAAACAACAAAAATCCCCCCCCCCCACATACTTTGAATAGAGACGAGGCCTGAGACATTTCAGCCTCAATGACCCATTTTCAGTATTTGCTTCAGTTATAACCCTGTTTTCACTCAAGCAGTTTTACCTTCTGTTCTTTGGTACCAAGCAAACATTTATAATGCTGTCTCAGACTCCTTTCAGCAGTCTCATCAACCCAGTACACAGTCAGCATAAGCCTCCCTCATGCAGCCTAAAATTTTCAATGGATGCCTCAGTTTATACCCCAGCCAGCACTGCACAAAGAGTTACAAGCTAGTTTTTGAGGACTAGGGCTACTAGGCAGAGGTAAATACATAAGGTAAAGGCAGATTCCCATCACCATCCCCAGCAAGGCCAGAGGCAATTTCCTGGTGAGAAACCCAGCCCCCACACCCATCCCATCTTTTGGGATGGTGATGATGGGATTTCTATTAGAGCAGTGGCTTTCAACCTGGGGTCCACAGACTATATCTAAGATTTCCAAAGGGGTCCGCAAATGAAACAGTGGTTTTCAAACTTTTATTAGAGTGATCTCTTTTGGGGGCTCCATCTTTCATATCTATCTCTGGTTAATAGGTGTCTTAGCGCTGTTCTACATACAAAGTTGCACCAGTTTAACAAGATCGGCACATCACCACACCTTTAGTTCCACCAGTGCAACTTTTGGGTTCAGACCAAGCCTTAAATCTGAAGTCTCACCCCCAAACTGTTGGGAGGAAGGAGATGCCTCCTAAAAGGGAGAGGATCTCCACTATTTTGCCCCTACCCTTGGAGCCTTCTCTCCTCTGATTAACTCCAGTGCATGCCTCTGTTGCTGCTCAGAGCTTTCCCAAGCAGAAGCAATATACATTTGACATCTTCAGTTGCTGCTCACAGGGTTCTGAATAGCAGCAGTCAAAAGTGACCAGAACCATGTTAACTTGACTCTGATGCTGCTTGGCAAAGCTAGAAGCAACGAATCTGTGCATCTGCCAACTCAACAAAATGACACTGCATTGAGCCTGCATCAGTTTACATTTCGGAGGTTCTCTTAATTTACATTGGAGTTAGAAACATACAAAATAATCTTCAACTCTGCAGAACTTAACAGGACAATCTCTGTACTTGCCTTGTAGATTTGTCACTTAGTCACCAGATGAATGTATTTTTCAAGTCCTGACAAGACACTCTTTGTTTTGAATTTAAAAAACAAGGAGATGCATTAAGTACTAGACTGCTATTCAGATACTCTCCTGTTTGTCAACACTAACAAGAATATGCATTGATAGGGTCCTCAATTAGCACAATGGCAAACTCCCTTGAAAAGCTGGACACTCAAAATACATACAGAATATATTTTATGCTGCTTACAAAGCCAAAGGCCAATAGAGTCATCATGCAAGACAGAAACGGGTTCTACAGAAAATGCATTACTCAAACCAGATCAGAGGCTCTGGTGCAGCTACAACCCATGGCTGGCCAATGATGGCTGAAGTCAGGGCAAACTAGTTAGTACAGTGTAGACAAGCCCTTAGTTATAATATAAGCAGTACTGATATACTTAATTAAGAACTTACCATCTCTTATCTTTGAAATTCCATCTAGATTTCTGTATTTGTAGCAGGCCCTGGAAAATATGAGAGAAGGACATATATGTCTGTTTCCTGGAAAAGATCCCTTAACTTCTGTGTTTATATAGCTCCAAATCCCTTCTGAGTAGCTCCAACCAAATCAGTTGGTACTGTTTAGCTCTTTTGTTGCTCCCTGCTAAAGGAGTTTGCATCCTTTTGATTCAGGCCACAAATTTAATTACTCCATTAAAGATTCAGGCCAATTCACACACCAGTTCAGTTCAAGTGATTTACCCTAACACTGCTCAACCCAGCCCTTTTAGATTAAATTTACCCATTCTGTCCCAGTTTAACTCAAAAGAAACTGTAAAAAAAGAAGAAAAAAACCCCACATAAACACATAAGAAAAATCACACCTCCTGCTCCCCACTGGACATATTTGTCAGTGACAGGGAATGCATGGAAAGCTTCAAATATTTGATGTCATAGTGAGCTGAAGGGAGAATAAAAGGAACTGGTTCATTTTCAGGAACACTTTCCTCTCCACTTCCCTTCCCAAAGGTGTGAAACACTTCTTATATGGATTCTATCCCTAAATGTTTTCATTTCCTCTAGTTAGATTCCCTCAATTTAATGAAACATTAGACGAAAAGTATGCCAGCAATGTTTAGACAGGTGGTGAAGACAGTTGAACTGCAAGGATAGGCTAGGACAGATGGAACTTAGAGCCCCTGCCTCTAGATATCTCCATTCCTCCTATGTCTGCTCTCCCCACAGAGTCCCCTCTTATGTTGAAGATGAAAATAAATATCAAACTTTTGGAAAAATCATTCAGCTATTTGCATCTTTAAATCTTGCAGCCTTTCCCCCATGGAAAACCGCCTCACACAAATCAAACCTTAGCACCTTAGTTGCTTCTACTAAAATGCACAACAATAAGATAAAGTTGCCATTACAATGGTCATACTAAAATTTCAGTTACCCACCCCACTGAAATGAATGGGGTAATTCACACATCTAGGAGGTATTATTTTAGTCTTTCAATCAGCAATCTTAAAACAGCCTTGCACTTATTAACACTTGAAAGGATATCTCTGAAATCAGAAGGGTGTCCCACAATGCCTGTTCTCACCTCTCTGGCCATTGGTTTGAACTCTACTGCCCTGCTCTCAGGTGACCAACCGTCAGCCCCACCCCATACATTCCTTTGCAAATTTGAAAGTCCCCTTCCTGTTTGCTTGGTGATGCGTGCAGTGGTCTCAGCGCATCTTTCCAGGTGGCCATGCCTGCTCCACACAATCCCCCGCTTGGAACAATGCCGAGCTGCTGGACCTCATCGGCATTTGGGGAGTGGAGGCAGTGCAGTCACAGCTGCGCTCCAGCCGTCAGAATTATGATACCTCCGGACAGATTTCTAGATGCATGATAGGAAAGGGCCACGACCGGGACACATTGCAGTGCAGGGTCAAAGTGAAGGAGCTGCGGAATGCCTACCACAAGGCGCGGGAAGCAAACCGCTGCTCCGGTACTGCGCCCACGAGCTGCTGGTTCTACAAAGAGCTGGACACAGTACTCGGTGGTAACCCCACCTCCACTGCAAAGTCCCCTGTGGATACTTCGTTGGCTCATGTGCCAGTCGAGAGTGGATCGAGCCAGGAGGAGGAGGAGGATGAAGAGAGGGAGGGGGAACCAGAGGCAGAGGATGACTCGGAGACCAGAGACGCATGCAGTCAGGAGCTCTTTTCTACCTCGGAGGAGCCTCGCCAGTCACAGCAGTTGGATCTTGACAAAGCGCAAACAGGAGAGGAGGCCCCTGGTAAGTGGATCTGATTTTGGGAATTGCTGAAGCGAGTTGTTGGGGGCAGGAGGGTTGCAGAAAGCAGGCTTGTCTCCCACTTCATGCCTAGTTTGAGCGGCGGAACAGGCTGTTAATACACTCCCTCACTTCGCGGGAATCTCCCTCAGATCTCCAGGAAAATGTGGAGACACTGGGCAATCCGCTCCCACACATGCCTCGGCAAAGCTGCTTTGTTTCTTCCCCATTAACGGTAACTTTCCTGCGCCACTGTGCCGTAACCGGGGGGGGCCCGGCGGGAGAAGAGGAGAACCATTGCTGCACACAGGTGAGCCGCATAGGGGCCAGGGTGGAAGCCACAGGCTTGGAGAAGACCCTCCCTTGATTCCCTGCTAACCCTCAGCAGCGAGATATCTTCCATAATGTTCACCTCCTGTGGAAAGTGTGGGGACAGGAATGATTATCAGGCCCCCCTACAGTGCTGGCTCTCCCCAAGTGCCCAAGAGCCACATGCCCAGTGTACAGCAGGGTCCGGGAACAATGATTTGCCCTGCCCCTGCGGCTACTCACCATTTTGGGGGTCTTGTAGCTTATGTGTGCTTGCTTGGGTCAGCCAGTTAGTGACAGGTGTGTGAATACTGGCTGTGTTTTAAAGCACTGAAACAGTGTTGTCTGTGTTGCAAACAATACTGCTTCTGTAAAATGTTGCATTTAAACTTCACAGAGATGACCTTGGGAGCCCAGCCTCCCTCTTTGTTATCAGCGGCAGAACGGTTGCGAAGAATTAGGAAGTGTCCAAGAAGAACTAAGGAGGATTTTATGCGTGAGGTTATGATGCACTCCACCGCTGAGAAAAAGGAATTGAAGAAGGAGTGGCGGGACAGCAAGAAGAGGGAACGAAAGGAGAATGCGGCACACCAGAAAGAAGCCACGGAGCGGCTCTTAACAGTTATGGAGCACCAAGCGGACACACTCCAGGCAATACTAGCTCTTCAAACTGAGCAGCTCCACGCCTGCCCTCCCCTGCAGCCACTGTTGCAAAACTCTTTCCCATGCGCCCCCTCCACACCACCAACACACTCTTATCAACCTCCTGGCTCCACTCTCTACCCGCAGCATTCCACTCCTCCCTCCTCACAGTCCAGCAGCGTGGACTCCCACTACCCACTGCACTCAACACCCATCCCTCCGCAGTTTGGCTCTGCTGAAGTACAGCACCTGCTGCATCGTACTCCGAAGGAGAAGGTGGATATGATCCCTGGACATACAAACATCTGTAGCTGTCCTGGGACCTCTCCTCCTCTTGAGACCTTCCATTCCCCCCTCTCCCTCCCTGCTGATGAATTTTTTCGTTTGACTCTCTCCTCTGGTTGTCTTTCAATAAAAGAATTGTGTTTGTTTGAAAGCAGTCTTTATTCTATTAAGTGAAAGCAAAAAGAGCACTGCAAAGCAACATACAATTAGGTTAAGGCCCCTTCTTGCATCATGTGCATCAATCACCTCCTAGCATTACAAGCACTGCAATCCTGAGCATAGCAACAAGTATTATTGGCTTTCAGCTTCAAATTGCTGCCTCAAAGTATCCCTGATCCTTATGGTCCCATGCTGTGCCCCTCTAATAGCACTGGTCTCTGGCTGTTCAAACTCAGCCTCCAGGCATCAAGCTTCTGTGGTCCAGCCCTGAGTGAAGCTTTCACCCTTCCTTTCACAAATATTATGGAGCGTACAGCACGCGGCTATAAGCACAGGACTATTGTCATTGGTTATTATCCAGCTTCCCTTACAGGCATCACCTGCGGGCTTTTAAACGGCCAAATGCACACTCCACAGTCATTCTGCACTTGCTCAGCCTGTTGTTGAACCGTTCCTTGCTGCTGTCAAGTTGCCCAGTGTATGGCTTCATAAGCCACGGCATTAAGGGGTAGGCAGGGTCTCCCAGGATCACAATGGGCATTTCGACTTCCCCTACGATGATCTTCGGGTCCGGGAAGAAGGTCCTGGCTTGCAGCTTCTTGAACAGGCCAGTGTTCCAAAAGATGCGTGCATCATGCACCTTTCTGGACCAGCCTGTGTTAATGTCTGTGAAATGCCCACGGTGATCCACAAGCACCTGGAGAACCATTGAGAAATACCCCTTGCGCTTAATGTACTCGGTGGCTAGGTGGTCTGGTGCCAGAATTGGAATGTGCGTGCCATCTATCGCCCCTCCGCAGTTAGGTAAGCCCATTTGTGCAAAGCCATCTACAATCTCACACATGCTGCCCAGAGTCATGGTCTTTCGAAGCAGGATGCGATTAATGGCCCTGAACACTTCCGTCAACACGACTCCAATGGTCAACTTTCCCCTCCAAACTGGTTAGCGACTGATCAGTAGCAGTCTGGAGTAGCCAGCTTCCACATTGCAATTGCCATGCGCTTTTCCAACGACAGGGCAGCTCTCATTTTCATGTCCTTGCGCTGCAGGGCTGGGGCGAGCTCATCACACAGTCCCATTAATGTGGCTTTCCTCATCCGGAAGTTCTGCAGCCACTGCTCGTCATCCCAGACGTGCATCACGATGTGATCCCACCACTCAGTGCTTGTTTCCCCGAGCCCAAAAGCAGCGTTCCACTGTGGTCAGCATCTCTGTGAATGTCACAAGCGTTCTCGTGTCATAACTACTACGTGTGGCAAGATCAATGTCGCACTCCTCTTGCCTTTGTAGTTTAAGGAATAACTACACTGCCACTCGTGACGTGTTGGTCAGTGCAAACAGCATACTGGTCAACAGCTTGGGATCCATTCCTGCAGCCAGAAAGAGGCAAGGCAGGGTGCAACGTACACAAACCGTTGAAAGATGGCGCCAAATGCGGACAGAAGCACAGGGATTGCTGGGATGTGAAGCAATGCATCACAGGGGACAGAACCCAGGATGTCCTGCAACCCCTTCCGCCTTCCCACAAGTCTTAGCGGCAAAAGAGGTGCGCTGAGGGATAGCTGCGCAGAGTGCACCGCTCCGAATAGCGCCACAAGTGTGAACACACTATTATGCAGGCAGCTATCAGTGTGAACGCACAACAGCGGTTTTCCTTTGGCGCTCTCACTTTTCCAGTGTAGACGTGCCCTAATTCACTATGCAACAGAGGGGATGTACTGCTTTAACCCTAAGTGACTACACAAGGTGCAAGGTAGCAAAGAATTAGGCTTTTGTCTTCATTAAGGAATATTTACCAAAAAGAAGTTCTACTGTTGCTGACACTGCTTGAGCTCCAGCACTGTTA